CATGAAATGTTTTGGTCTGTGCCTGTGACTTTTTGTGTAAAAATATCAAATTATAATGTAAAATATTTTAAATAGAATTTCAGAGATACCAATATAGAGGAAAAAATGTGCATCAAAGAACTTATAAGTTGAGTATCATTGAATCAATTATGTAAGGAAAAACGGCAAAGAGATGAAGCCAGGAGAATGTGTGAGGAAAGATGAGGAATTTTTACTTTATAGCATAAATTATAGAGATTTTATATAAACACTTTCATCAGAAATGTGAAGAATATTCTCATATAGTCTAATTTCCAGCTACATGGGGGCAATCACTTTCAAATGGTCTTATTCAAACAGGAGTGGTATTATGTAAATAGAATATTTTAAATAAAATAAAACCACTGGAGGTTGTGTATTTTTTTCCTTAAGAATTTTTCCAAATATTAGACTAATTTATATGGTCTCAGTGAGATTATGAATGGAGAATGCATATGTTCCTAAAGCATTTCATAATGGTACCGTATATTTAAAGCATTATACCTAATTTGTAGGGATAAAAGTATGTATAAAGAATAGACCTTCACTGATAAGAGCATGCCTGGCTTATGGAACTAAATATACACATTTTGGATCTCACTAGCATGTTCAGAACTGTTTCATAAATATATGAGTGATCCTAAATATGCTTAATGATATCTGTATATTTACAAGATTCTATAAAATGTCTGGGGTTTAACAAGTCCTTAAACAATCAGTTAAGTCACAAGACCTCAGAGACCTAATATTCTGAGTGGCAGAGAGAAAAGTATCTACAAAATAGCTTTATGATAAATAGCTTATTTCTCTTCATTGAGTTAAGTTGTAGAAATAACTTCCTTTAGGAAAATGTCAAGGGAAAAAATCAGCAATGATTTGAAGGAATGTTTTGAGTATATATGCAAGGGATAAATGATAAATAAAATACCCCACCATTTTTCTTGGGTACAAGATGGATGACTAATCCTTATTAACAGGAAGAATTTACCCTTTACATAGAGAGGCCAGTGTCAAGACATGGGTGTGTGAACATGTGTCAGGCTGTGTGTGTTATAAACAAAGGGCAGACAGAAGTGAATGGCAGCAGCACAGGAGCTGGGCCTCTTGGAGACATTCTGCAGGATTGGCTCGCTAGCCACACAGGAAACGTAGGATAGAATGGCATTGTCTGTAGGGATAGGAAGTCACTCTTCAAAGTACCAGAATGTAGGGCTGAGATTAAGCAAAGTCAGTTCCAGACATACAGAGCTGAGGTCAGGCGAAGTCACTTTATGGCTACATGACTTTATGCAAGTTACTTAGTTTCCTTTCATTTAAAATGTTTGTAAATGAGGTGCTTTGGGAAATGATGAGGAAATCTATACAAAGCATTGTATACAAATGGGATAATTTCATTTTCCTTTTTTATTTTACTCTCCATTTGTGCTCCTTATCATTGCATCATTTTCTTCAAGTAAGAATTTTCATTTCACTGAAGTAAGTATGTTAATATTTTCCCTACAGAACCTCCTACAATGAAATTCCTGGTTTTGCTTTGTATTTTGAGTGTGCTTGAGCAGAGAACAGTAAGTTAAAGAATAATCTGGAAGACCATTATAGTTGCTTTTTTAAAAATTTCAAAGTATAAAATATTTATCTGGTTATACTACATATTGTTATAAATTCAGTAACTGAAAATAGGAGAACATTGCTTTGATCTAAATACTTAAAGAATTTTTAAAAATCCATTTGCCCACCACTTGTATTTTACAAATGTAAACACCTTGTCATATAGACTGTAGTTCTTCATAATAAAATAAAATGGTATCAGTTTTGCTGAAGTTTCCCCTAGGGACTTGATTCTCCTTTGCCTTATCCCAGAAGTAAGCCATTCTGAAGTTTGTGTATAGGCTTCCCTGGCTTGTTTGTATAACTTCAGGATGCATGTATATGACTCTTAAAAATACAGAAAAGGGTCTTGTGCAGTTTTAAAAATTTGCATAAATGAGACATATATCATATATCATTTGGCAACTTGCTCTTTCACTCAGTATTTATGCTGTCACAATTTATCCATGTTGATGAATGGATCAGTACTTTCACTATAATTGATCTTTTCATTGTAGACCAATACATAATGCATTATATCTGAGTAAAATGTAAACTCTGTTTCCTATATGATTTTATTGAATTGATGATCCTTATTCAAAGCCTTTGTAGACTGCCTAAAAACATTTTTTATTATGTATGCTATCCACATATTATGTATGTATGATTATTCAACAAAATAGTGTATGTGTATCTGTGGGTAGATATACACATATATATGTATAGTGTGTGAAGTGAAAAATCTTAACCTGAAATAGAAATTAAAAATTATAAGAGCATATGCTGTTTTCTACCAGGATTGCAATGGATAATCATGTTTAATGACTACACAATTAGATAAACTATGAAGTCCAGGCAAGTGTATTATGCCAATAAGAATTTATTTGGGAAACATTTTGAATGTAAAATAACTATGAATTCTAATAGCAGTCTAAAAATAAAAACATTAAAAAGTAACTAAATGAAGTAAACCACTTTTTTCTTATTTTTAGTGGGGAAATGTTGAGAGTAACAGTAATTTCTTCAGTGAAGAGGTACCCCTTTAATATTTTTCCATTTAAATATAACTCCTGATGTTTTATGTTTTCTAATGCCACACTTGTAGCAACCCATTTCTTAACTCTCAAAAATTATTTTATGAAAATTGATGAAACTGTAGTCACTATCAAAAAATTTATTTAAACTTAATATTTTAATATAAATTCAGAAATAGAGTCCTTTACTTTTGATTGAGCTCTAATGCAGAACATAACAGATAAATTCCTCTAATGTAAGCATGATTTAAATCAGGGTATAAATTGGATTAAATGGATGTTAAGTTCTACCTGTGCATTTTGATGTTTTTCTTTGATTGAAATATTAATCTTTCTACTTGATTGCTTGGTAATTGACCAGTGGTACATCTTACTTTGAAATATACTAATTATAGTTTAAAGTCCTGAATTTCTACACTCCTGCTGTGGTGACAAGTGAGAGGACATCTTCTGTCATACCATAGTAATTCAAATCTGGATGAAGAATATACTCATCTATAAACATGATTATATAGCCTAAAATGAAAACTATGAAGTTTCATAGTTTTCATTTTAGTCATTTATTTGTACTTTAAAAATAGAATAAGAGATATTAAAGGATATAGATGCAGATTCCAAAGCAAGTGTGTGTATGGATGCTCTGCATTTTAGTAACAATGATTATTAGTAAACATTGTCATTTAAAAGAGGAATTTCTATTCTGAGGATATGTTTATAATCATATCCTTATAATAAAATATGATGACCTGGTACCATAGAAAATTCTGGAGAAGTATCAGAGAAGCCCAAAATTTTGGGGGAGTGGAGATTTCTGTACCCATAGAGATTTCCTCTTCATCCACAGTCTATTATCTGCCAACTTATGGGAAAGCAGGGCATGGGATGGTAGGGCAGAGGGATTCTGTCCATCCACTGCCCCATAGTAGAGGCAACTGAGTATGCAGAGAAGCTTATATAAAATTGTGAGCATGTCTTCACGTCAGAAAGAACTGGTAGCAACACTTCAAATAAGCATTGAAAGAATATATTCAAAACATCACCAACACATTTTCTCATTTATCTGTTTTTATCCTTAGAATTTAAGTGACCCTGACTTTAATGATGATCATTTTGAACGCCAGCCTCCAGAAGAAAATTTGTCTTTTTCTCCAGTATATGATGACTCTTCATTTTTAACATCCCTTTAAAGAACAAAAGGTAACTTCAAATTCATCTGAAAATGTAATGGATCTCCTCTGAAGTGATTTTCTGATGAATAAAATAATTAAATTCACACAAAATGCTTGTGACAGGTAATAGAATTTGTTGGATACAAATATGTATGCTAGGATGCTAGAGTCTGACCAAGTTGGTCCATATCCCAGGACCAACACTTAGTAAGATAGTAGCCCAAGCAACTATTGACTTTCTGTGTGCCTTGGGGGCCTCATCTGAATTAAGCATGATACGAGTATTGACCAACAGAGTTATGAGCATCATATGAGATGAAGTAATACATAGTAAATAAGTAGTAAATATAAATATTTTTGTTCCAAGATTTTTTTTTAAATAGTGAGCATTTTCTCCTGCAGTAAATCTCTTTGCTGCACAAATAAAACCATAAGAAAAATCAGTAAATGTGAAAGAATATTAATTTCTGTCCTATCTCTTACATCTACCTCATAAATAAAAAACAAGTTCCAGATTCAATCTACTTCCAGATTCATCTCAACACCAAATTGCCATTCTCCCTTTCAGCAGATAAAAGCTCTCAAAAGGAAATATTAATTTCCTATGATTCCCCAGGCATTCTCCTTGGAACTATCACCTGAGATATAATTTTTAAAACAATCATTTTACTGAATGGAAAGTTAAGGCCCTGATGGATAATTTGTCTGAATTTGTTTTGTGAGTGGGCAACAAAGAACCCACCCAAACTGTTTCCAGCTTCTAAATGTTCTTGATGGACCCAAATTTGTCCCTGTGTCCCTGAGATTGTAGGGTGAAAATTGAGGTGATTATCTTTTCAACAAAGAAGGAAAGTTTCATTTCATAAAAGTGCTTTGGTACTAGAAAAAGTGTAATAGAGATACCATGATTAATTTTCATGGTGTTATATTTAATAATTATATATGTTTGCATGTGCATATGTGTGTGTATTGCATATACCATTATTTAGGTATAAATCAATAGTCACTGTGTTATGTGTAATAGGCTCATCATGCTTTGATAACAAATAGTCCTGAAAATAGTAATGTCTTACATAATAGGAGATTTCTTTTTCTTCACATCATGTCACATTCTGATGCAGGTGTGATATATGATCTTCATGTGCTACCTCTAGAAACATGGCATCCAAAGTCCCCAAATCAGAGTACTCACATGAGAGTAAGTGAGCACAGTAGTACTTAGTTGTGATAGCCAGGAAATGGTACACATAACTTCTCATATCCATTGGTCATATTAGACTTGTGATTCGATCCTATCTGCAAGGAAGCCAAAAAGGGGAGAAATAGAGTATTTACTCTTTTTGCAACAATAACACTATACCTAATAGTAATGTAGTAGTATGAATATGTGTGTAGGGAGAAGAGAATTTGGAGGACAATCAAATGGAATGAATGCAACTTTTAGTTTAAATTTTGAGTCACCAACATGAAATAATTTTTTATCTTCAGATATGGATCTTCGAAACATCTCTTTTGGAATACTGATATGTATACCTCTAACAAATCAAAATCTTACTCTATATTCCTTATTCAAGAGTTTGGTTCTACTATGATGGCATCCTTGGACTATATCATATACACTAAAGAAAATGGATAACAACTGTAATAGCTTTGGAATTTGAATTTCTTTACTTTTATTAATAAATCTCCTTTACAAGCATGTACTTTATTGCTATATTATATTTCATTTCCCAAAGATATAGATATAATAGTCAAGACCATTATTTTTTTATTGGCTTTCCTCACTTTCATGTTTTCATGTGTTTTTACCATATGAGCATCACATAAGTTATCGCACCTGTTACCACGTATCTAAACTTAACTAATTTCTTCTGCAAAATAAATGACCCAACAATAGCATATCATACACCAACTAACATATCTAAAGGAATAAGACCTAACCTTATTGTTCCCCGAGCTCATCTCCAAAGGTAGGCATTCAACAAATAACTTTTCAATCTCCTTAAGCCAGGAGCTATTCTAGATACTGGAAACACAGGGGTGAACATAATTAGCAAGGAGCCAGTGAAGCTAAACAGAGAATAAATAAAGGAAAATTTATTTCATTTGTAGACGAGAGAATAAAATATGTGCCATAAAAGACAATTTTGGAGGATTTCAAAATAATTTGACACAAAAAATTTAAGCATCTGCTAATAATATACTTTAATGAAGAGGCACATTTTCTGGCTCTTGTCAATGAAATGAATGTGAGAGAAGGCCTTAATTGGATATCTTCACATATTCTCTTTCTCATATATGATGTATGTACAAAATTGGTTAAAATTTTATGGGTCATTCAGTATGCAAGATGCAGTAAATCTCAATAATTTTTATCCAATAGTCAGGAAATTACTTTCATTTCATTCCTTATTTATTCATTGACTCAGTGAATATTTTTGAGTGTTCATTACAAGTCATTCGTATAATAGAAGTGCTGGAGATAATCATCTATGACAATAAGAAAAAGTTCCTCTCCTTATTCATCTTGTATTCTAGAGGTATGCTCAATAATTATCAAATAATTTGCAATATAGGTATTTTTTAAAAACTCATACAGAAAACATGAAGCAAGTTGAGCTGGCAGAGAGTGACAGAGTGAAAGAAGCTATATAATTCTGGGGGTCAGAGAAGTCTTCCTTGAGGAGGTGAGAAGTCTTCCAGAGAAAGGAATGGAGGGAAGGAGTAAGTCATACAAGAGCACTTGTATATAGAAAAGAGCACTCCAGGAAGAGGGAACTGAAAATGAAAATGCTCTGAAGTAGGAAACAGCCAGCCAAGCTCAAAAAAAAAAAAGCCAGAACACTTGTGTGACTAGAGTGGGTGGGCAAGAGAAAGAGAAATAAAAATGACAGGACGAAGAGCTATGCAGGCCCTGCACACAGGTAAGGACTTTTGCACTGCACTCTGACTTACAATCAGAAACAGAGTTATTTCTAAGAAGAGTAGAGTCATGGTTTGATTTTCACTTTAAAATTTACTCTGGCTGCTGAGTGAACATTAGATCCTTAACAAGGGGAAGAAAGGTGTAAAAAAGACAAGTTCAACAGTTACTGCAAACAGTCCAGTGGGAGATAATGATGGCTTGGCCTACGATGGCAGCAGTTAAAATGGTCAAAAATGGAGATGGAGAAAAGGAGAAGGCAGAGCAAAAACAGCTAATGGGTCGGGTTGGGATGGGAGGAAAAGATCAAAATTTCTTTTGATCATGTGAAATATGTAATGCTAGTAGCACTCAAGTAGAGATGAGGAATATGTAGCTGGGTATGCGCACGGTTCTTGGAGAAGAAGTGATAGTGCTGTTCAGGCAAAGAGTATTAAGTCTGCAGTTAGGTTGGTACTTCTCAAACTACCTCTTGACAAATTATTTGTTGCAATTCTATAAGGAAATAAGAAGCAGGCATGTAGAATGCAAACGAACACACTGGTTCCTAAATTTGGATCCTAGGATTATCAGAGACTTTGTATTTCCATAAGCTTTCCAACTTAAACTCCATCCAAATTCCCAGTCATGTGAGCATGGTGGAAAGTAATAGATATAAATAACAAAGTCCTGTCCCTTCTATCAGCTGCATAGGTCTCTTCCTTGGCCTTCCCACTACATCCCCGACAGACCCGCCTCTCTTGCTCTCACCTGAAGGGAACTGCATGCAGCTCTCCCTGCTTTCATTCTCTCTGCGTCCCCTTCTCATCCTCCTGCGTCTCTCCAGAACAGCCTATTTCTGTCTACTCTCCATGATGGAAGGGTGACTTTCTAATATTTAACCTAGATACCTTAACAATTTTTGCAGTGAAAATAAAATCTTACCTAGCAAGAACTCTTGACTGGATTCTTAGCCTCTCCATTTATGATCTTCCCCATCTTCTGCCCCTTCATTTTATGGTCTAACTCTCCCAAACTGGTACTTACTTTCAATGCAATCCTAATCAAAATACCACTGGGATTCTTTGGGTAGAAATTAATCAACTTATTTATTTAAAAATTTATGTGGAAATACAAAACATAGAGTAGCCAAGACAAGATTTGAAGAAGAAAAACAAAATAGAGTATGTGCATTACCAAATTTTAAACATGATTTTATTTAAGGCTGTGTGTGACTAGACAAAGAGATCATGGAATAAACTCAAGTCCAAAAATAGGCCCACACATATATGGTCATTTGATTTTTGACAAAGTGCCAACTTTCATAGGAAAAGATGCATGTTTTAATAGATGACCCTGAAGGGAAGGGTAATCACACAGAAAAAAAAATAAACATTGTCTCCTACTTCATAATAAATAAAGCTTAATTTGTATTATATCATAAATTTAAGTCAGGCTAAAATGAAAAAGCCTCTAGAGGAAAATACAGAGGAAGTTATTCTTGAGCTTGGAGAAGGTAAAGATGTTTTTGGATAAAATGAATAAAGCACAAACCAAAATCAAAACAAACAAACAAAGACAATTGACAAATTGGATTCCATTTAGAGAGGAAAAAAGCTTTTTCATCACAAATCAGAATTAATAACATAAAAGGTTAAATCACAGATTAAGAAGACAACATATATTAATATTTATATCAGTAAATGTAAACCTATATTTATAAATATAAATTTATATAAATATACATTTATACAAATGTATAATATACACACATATACATATACATGTATATCTGTATAAAACAAAGGGCTTATTTCTAGCATATATGCATACATATGCTTATAAATCAATAATAAAATGACAAACACCCCATTAGAAAAAATATGTGAACTGCCACTTCTCAAAAGTATAAATAGCCAATAAACCTCTGAAAAGTTACATAACATCTTACTTAACATAGAAATGTTTCCTTTTCTCCTGAGCCCTAATGACCATACAGTTCCATATATTTCATTTTCTGAACTGACACTGTTATTCATCTCCTCAGACCCTTCTGTTATATGAAACTCATGGTCTATCACCAGCAAACCCACTATATTCAAAATTTTTCTGAATCTTCACTCTATCCCTTGTTCAGAACGAAACTTGGCTCACTCCTAGGGATAACATCGTTGCAATAAAATTGAAAGACCTAAATAAATGAAAAGATATTCCATGCTCATGGATCAGATGCCAATATTTTTAAATGGCAAATCTCCTGAAATTGACCTACCAATTCAATGCAATTACTTTCAAAATCCCAGCTGCCCTGGCTGGTAAAATTGAGAAGACAATTCTAATACATGTGAAATCAAGCGATGCAGAATAGCCAAAACAGTCTTGTAAAATAACAATATTGGAGACTTTTCACTTCCCAATGTCAAATATTACAACAAAGCTACAGTAATAAATACAGCATGGTAGTGACACAAAGATAAACATACAGACCAATAGGCTAGAATTGGGAGTCCAGAAATACGACCTTACATTTATGGTCAATTGATTATCAGTTAAGGTGCCAAGAAAATTCACCAGGGAAAGAATAGTTGATTCAATAAATGGTGCTAGGGCAATTTTATATCCACATGCAAAATAATTAAGTTGGACTCCTACCTCATGTTATATACAAAAAATAATAAATGGAACACAAACCAATATGCAACTGCTATAGTGATAAAATCCTTAGAACAAAACAAGATTAAATCTTCATGACCATGAGCTTGTCTGGATTGCATGGAACTTTCCATCAGATATGGCATCAAAAGTACAGGCAACCAAAGAAAAACTAAATAAATTGGATCAAAATAAATTCATCAAAATTTAAAAATTTTGTGTATCAAAGGAAACCATCATGAAATGAAAATGAAAAACAATCCACAAACCTTTGGAGAAAATATTTGCCAATCATATATATCATAACAGGCTTACATGTAGAATATATAAAGAACTCTTACTTCAACAATAAGAAAAATAATTCAATTTTAAAATGAGCTAAGCATTTAAACAGACATTTCTCCAAACAAGATACACAAT